TCCGGGGCTTGCCCGGGACAGGGATGGGGATTAGCCGCAGCAGGTGCAGGGGCCGCTTGTCATGCAGATAGCGAGCGAGTGAGCGACCTGGCGTTGGGACCGTCCTGGTATCGCCCCAGCCTGGCCGGGCGGTTACGTAACGTCCTGCGCACGGAGTCTGCTGGGGACGGAGCAGCGCGTCCTCCTTGGCCCCGGAGCCCCGGGGCACCCTTGGAGAAGAGCTTCGCTTCGCCGGGCAGGCAGGTCTCGGGGACCGCGTTTCCATTTGCATCTGTTGTTTGCGAGGTAGAAGAACTCTAGGCAAGCGGTGCATCCTTCTTGGTCTGAACAGTAGTTCAGAATCTTTGCAGTACTGGCTGTATGGAGCTGTGCAGTTGAGTTTGATGTCTGTATACAAATGTGTTCAATGTGTCGATAAATTCTTCAGAACTTACTAGAAAGCAGAATGGGGCAAGCATTGATGAACAGTTTATGACTAAAACTCCCTTTGCAGAAAATTGTTATTCCTTGTAATAAAAAGTTCATACATCCTTCTCAGTTAGCGTGCTTTTGCAGTAGAACTTCAGCACAACGTACTCTTATAATACTTAGAAAAAGTCTTTTAACAAAACCATCTAAAGGCTATGAAGTAGAGCCTCATATCCTTCTATCCGCATCTTGAATTAACAGTGTCATAAGCATTCCTTCATCGTTGTGTATGGTCACCTGTTACTTTGTCCTCAAGTGTTTTCAATGTGCTTTATTTATTTGGAAGATTATGATGTTGTATTCTTCTTTTTCATGGTCTCTGAAAGTGGAACATTTAATTACTGTCTCCAGCTGTGTTTCTTCGCTTTTTTCCTGATGGAACAACTGTCATAGCTTTTCTTAGCAGGAGGGAATCAGACCTATGATTACGGTCTGAAAGTTTCTTGCTGTTTGCTCAAGACTCTTGGCTATTCCTACTGCTTTCTAGTGAAGTTTCAGAGTTTTCTCTGTGCAAAACCGAAGAGACCTTCTGCTTTTTAAGTTCTTTATTGTGTTGTTTTTCCCCCCGCAAATACTAATTTAGCTTTTGCTCAGCAATGATATAGAACTTGGTATAGCATTTATACTGACTTTCAGATTGAAATAAAAAGGGCACACTGTTTTTCTCTAGTTTGCATCAAGTAATTTCAGTATTAGAGCATGCTTTTATTGGTAGCAAAGATAAAGCCTTAATTCTTACGTCAGTGTTAAACTCTATGTTTATATGAGTTAATGTTGACTGCTAATTTTTTTTTTATTATTATTTTTTTCTTAACTGTTCTTTGGAAATGTCTCTCTTGTTTTCTCCCAGGCCTAGAGTTACAGCTCTCTGATTGCAAGTGTGCAGACCAGAAGCTGAGGTGAGATATGCTGAAGTTTTTATGCCTTTGTGGAAAAACTTTCTCTGAAGCTGTTATGGCATTTATTGGAAAGAATGAGGAAATTTCTAATTGTTTTGCTTTCTTTTCTTCAGTGTGAAAACAAATAATGTTTGAAAAAGGAGGAGTAATTCAGAACAGAAAACGTGAATGCTATGGTTAACTGGTTCCAGTCGTTCGAGAATCTGTTTTCTCATTGTGTGAAACTTGTTCAGCATCGGGATAAAGGATAACGACTCTATGGATATACAGAATTCTTCACCATGGTAAAACTCGCCAACCCGCTGTATACAGAGTGGATCTTGGAAGCAATCAAAAAGGTAAAGAAGCAAAAGCAGCGTCCTTCAGAGGAGAGGATATGCAATGCAGTGTCATCTTCACATGGTTTGGACCGCAAAACTGTTCTGGAACAGTTAGAGTTGAGTGTTAAAGATGGAACTATTTTAAAAGTCTCCAACAAGGGTCTCAACTCCTACAAGGATCCTGATAATCCTGGGAGAATAGCACTTCCAAAACCTCGGAACCATGGCAAGTTGGATGGTAAACCAAACGTGGACTGGAATAAACTTATTAAACGGGCAATTGAGGGCTTGGCTGAGTCTAGTGGCTCATCCTTGAAGAACATCGAGCGCTTTCTGAAAGGTCAGAAAGATGTGTCTGCGTTATTTGGAGGTAGCACTGCCTCCGTTTTTCACCAGCAATTACGGTTAGCTGTCAAACGTGCTGTTGGCCATGGTAGGCTCCTTAAAGATGGACCTCTATACCAACTCAACACTAAAGCAACCACTAATACAGATGGGAAGGAGAGCTGTGAGTCTCTTTCCTGTCTCCCTCCAGTGTGTCTCCTTCCCCATGAAAAGGATAAGGTAAGACCCAGTTTGCATGGACATTCTCTTGTGATGAAATGTGTTGATAGAGTCACAATTTAAATTCAATGATTTGTTTAGCTTGCGTCTTCTAAATTAAAAATGACTGATATGCATTTAGGATCCTACTGTATCCAAATTTCTAAGTGTGATCAGAGGAAACAGACTGTAATTTGTACTTTGGACCTGAAAACAGCAAATTAACTACTGTGGGGAATTTACCTCTTAATGCTTCTGTAAAGAAGAATTGAATGCATAACAGGCTTACTGTAGTTATGTTAGCAAAGCACAGGAAGTAAGCCTTCACTCTTTAAGGAGAGGTGGATTTGCAAAGCGTACTGTAGATCATCTCTTATTTTCAGATTTTTATTTGACTGCCAGTTCAGCTTCCTATTTGAATACAAATAATATAGTCAAGCACTGATTAGCAGTTATCACCTAATGCTTTTTTAGAGGCTTACTTTGTTCACAATAAAAAAAAATCACTTTCTGTCCCAGAACGGCTTTGTTGTGAAATAGGAAGAAAAGATTTATAGGATACAGCAGTTGAAAAAACAACTTAAATCAGGAGGATGTCGAGAGTATGGAAATGCCGGAATGAACCCATGGGCTTCTGTTACCTTTTGTGTGCCTCCACTCACCTGTCTTAAATATAGTTAGTTATACAAGCCACAGTATTTTTCTGTTGTTTTCTCTTACTTTTATGATTTTTCCCCCTCCTTTCTTCCATCCTTCTGCATTCCTGAGGTCTTTGACCCTCCACTCCAACCTCAAGATGAATTTGTTAGAGTGAAATTCGTACCCACTCACTATCTTTCCTGTCCTTGTGCTTCTGTGGAAGCAGAGTTAAATGGAAGCCTCTCGTTGTTTATTGAAGACCAATTTGCTAGTAATTCATATCTTTGCTCTACTAGTCTACAACACTTCAGGAATATGGACATTTTTTTTTCTATCCATAATAGATACATTTTTCAGCAGTGTTGGAGGTTTTTTTGTTTTTGAAATATCCTCTTAAGGGATGAGTTCTTGGATTGTGTGCTATTCATGTTTCAAGTTTGCTTCAGTCTCTGATGAGCAAGCTGCTTTGTGATCTGTGGGGCCTTGAAGGCCTTCTTCCCCCCCAAAATCTGCAGAGGTGCTGTATCACCAGTAAAGTTTCTCCAAAGTTCTGATTTGACTGTGGAAGCTCTACCACGGATGCAGTACTTAACTAGTCAGAGCATTGTATTTTTTGCTAGTGGAACGTAGGAAGTTGGTTTTACTACCATGAATATTACAGCAGCTTCCTCTATCCTTTTTTTCGAAGAGTTCTGTCTATGAATGTCTACCATGTACTTCTCCAACTATGTCTGTAATGAAATCAGTATGACTGTAAAATGGTACGAAAACTGGCTGTAAACAAGCCTGGCACATAAGGCAGCTGGATGGAGAGTGGTAATAACAGTGGAAAATATTAGCTGTGCATATTATTATTAACACAGCATGTTTTGCAGCCTATTCAGTCTTGTAATGTGCCAAAACTCAGGACTAGCTTGATGCTCTTTCAGACAAAGTGTTTCCTGGGGCTTTCTTAAAATGGGATGTATCAGAGTGGTGAAGGATAATATGCGTTACTATAAATACTGATTTTGGTCCAGGATTTGGTTTTTGACCCCTGAAAAATACATGTATCAAGTTTTTCTGTGTTCAGGTGTACATAACTATAAACACATGCGCACATATATGTTTGTGTGTTTTGTGAGTTGTTAGATATATTCCCTAATTCCTTTCCGCTTGCTCAGGTCTCAGCAGCTCGAGCACCGAAAGGAATTGTTAGTAATGCTAGAATGTACAGTAGCTGTAATAGAAGTTTTGTAAGGGGTTTCTTCAATAAATCTGATTATTTTTTAAGATGTGTTTTAAACTAGTGTCTAAATTTCTTCTAATCATGTACCATCTCTGTGCTGTGTAATCCGTGCTGAGTTTCATAGTAGCTTTAAGTCTTTTTGAAGATAAGATGTTAAAACACCCGTGTAGATTCTTCCAGCATTAATTGACTGGCAAGTCAGTGGAAGCCAAAAGATCAGTTCTTTCCTACAGGATATTTAAGACAGTTTTGTTGGGTTTTTTTGTTGTTTTTGTGTTGTGTAGTTTTTTAATGCAGACACTGTGATGGTCTTCCTTCATTGTACTGTTTTCTGTTAAATCTCAACCAGTTATGCAGGTGCAAAAGTGCAAAAGTTATTGGGTGCTTGAGTGTGTTGAGGCATTTTGAGGGAGGTTGTTTGATTTTTGTTTGTTTGGGTTTTTTTTGTCTTCAGTGTTATTATTCAGTACAGATTCTTTGGGAGAATTTTGGTGCTGTTTCTCTTGATTCTTAGAAGAAACTTGGCAACAACATGGACAAAAGTTCACCCTTCCAAACCTGAGAAATCATAATGACCCATCTCTTGTTTGCTGCTGTTATTCTTTTTCTTTGCACTATTTGGTCTTTAACATGCGTTTAAGAACTCTCCATAGACCACGTAATCCAAATTTATGAATCTTAAAGGTGTAATATCTGTTTCTTTTATTTGTTCAAATGTAGCTTCCATTCAGCTGCATGTGCTCACCTGTTTGATAGTAGTGTCACTTTGTTTAGATGCCTACAAGTGAACATTCAATTTTCGATGTTTTCTTCTGTATTATGAAAGTGAGTACCTTGCAGGAGGTTGATGAAAGATGAAGCTTAGATTTTTAAAACAGACTAAAAAGCAGCACTACAAAAATTTTATTTAATGATATTATTTGCTTCTTTTTAGACCTTATTTTTTATCCCAGTGTTATGTGAATACCACATTGTAGTGTGCAAGGGCAAAAAATCCTGGTGAGTTAGTATGGTTTACCAGCTAGTGATGACATGCTGCTGACATTATGATTTTGAAATTCCTGGCCTAAAAACACAATTTGAATGAAAACAAGCAAACAGGAAAAAAGCCTGCTGATGGGAAGGGCTCAATGCTGAATTTTACTTATCCGTTAGTGACCAGGACTGACAAAAGAAGGGTTGTCTTTAATTTCAAATGCTATGTGTGTCTTCACTCATGGGCTTTAGGGAACTGGCCCTTTCTTTTCAGTTTCCTGTAGTTTAGACACTAAAATGGGAATTGCAGTTAAGAACTGTTTTTTCATTCTCTGTGATGTTTTGGACTGAGTGCTGGACTGTGGTGTTGTTTCTGTGTTTCTGTGATAGTTGACACACTGATAAGAGTCTCAATACCTACCCCTCTTGTGTAAAGAAAGAAGCGGGGAGGGCCGGTGGAAGGTGGCAAGTTGTTGCAATACCTAAAAGTAGAGGAAGTTCATACTGAAATTGTGATGGAAGAAGATGGTTGAGGCGCTGCCTCTTGATTAAGTGTCAGGTAGGCACTATCCTTTCAGTGTAGCTGGAAGCAAGGAAGTGTAGATGTCAGGCCTCCCACATTAGGGCGGCTGAGGAGGTGATAAGTGTGGAGCAAAGAGCATTCAGCACCGAGTCCACCATCCGTCAGTGACATCTGTAGGGAAGGAGCAATGTTGTGTGAGGTAGACTAAAATAAGTAATCCCACTGCTATGGTGCAATTTCTACAGTAAAGCCGTGATTAAATATGCGTGAGAGCTTACTTTAAAGTATAATTGTCATTTCTGTTATATGTGTAATTAGTCTAGTTGCAGACTGAAACAGGATTTTTACTTCTTGAAGTTGTCTTTTACTTGAGGAAAAAATGCTATATGTCAGGATTTCTTCAGTGGAAGTTTTATTTCTTGAAACTTCTTACTAATTATCATTTTTTAAAATCCTTTTTCTGAGGTGGAAGAGAAAATTCTTTGGTGCTTCTTTGGAAACCGTAACTTATCTTTAAGTGGATGCCATATATCCTCACATAGCTGAGGGCAGATTTTTTTTTTGTCATCTCTATAAAAACTAAACAGTATAAACAATGATACTGTTTTAACATATACTGGCTATTGAGATGTCTTTGGGAAAAGCTTGACATGAGTATGCAGAAGAAAGAGGGTATCTTGACGAAATTTTCTGGGCCGTTTCACTGCCACTTGATTGGGAGCTTGGTTGGGATTCTGGGGGGGTGTTTGTGGTGTGTCTTGGTTTTTTGTTTGTTGTTCATGATTGGGGCAGGTGCCGTAGAGATTATTTAAGAAGTTAATCTTATTTGTACCGACACCTCGCATCTCTGCCCGATGTTGCAGCAGCCGTTGAAAGATAAAGCCAAGTGGTGTTTTGCTCCTCAGTGGCTACAGTTTGCAGCCCGGTTTATGAGCATTAAATGAAATTCTTGTTTTAAGTTAATGCTGCAAACTTCAGCTGCTGCTGGAGGGAGAGAATCTCTGATGGAGGAACAGACAGGGCAGCACAGGGGAATAGTCCTCTGCGTTGTGAACTGGCACATCGTCAGAGGCCGTGGGTGCAAGCTGTTGGGTTGGCTGTGCAATTTGCTATACTTGTGTTTTATCTGTACTACTAATACCTTTATTTCTTTGCTTACTTGTTGGTGGTTTGCATTTGCCAGACGGTACTGATTTGTCTTTTGTTTTGAAATACTCTATTTATGCATTTAAAACCTGAAAAGTAACAAGTATCTGATGCTTGTGTATGGCCATCAAATATATATTACGTATTTAATTGTAAGAAACTTCTTATGCAGTTGTGTGTTGCGTCTTTAGAATGCCGGGGGCAAGAATTGCAGATTGCAATACTTTAGGAGTCTTTTTGGATCAGAAACTTTGAAATAGATAATTTGGGGGTTGGGTTGTTTTTTTTTTTGTTGGTTGGTTGTTTTTGTTTTCCCCGTTTTGTTGAAATAGAAGAGCTCACTGAATCTGCGTTGGTCTGGAAAACCCTGAGTTGTCTTTCTGAACAGTTCTGATTGGTATAGTAGCCTTTATTTGTAGGGCTGTGGCATCTAGTTGTTCAAATCGTGTTGTGTGTTGGCATAATTGAAGAGCATCTTGTTTTAGAAGATTGGCCTGGAGTGTGAAGTAA